GTGTGTGTGTGTGTGTGTGTGTGTGTGTGTGTGTGTGTGTGTGTGTGAACATACACATGTGAATACAGGCACACACACAGAAACATCATAATTCCTTGGAATTGGAGTTAGAGGTGGCTGGAAGCCACCAGAGTTGATTGCTAGAAATTGAATTTGGATCCTCTGAAAGAGCATTGAGTGTTTTTAACTGCTGAATCATCTCTCAGTCCACCCCACCATGGGGCAATGATATTTACAAACACATATATCACACTTTCCTAGAAACTTCTCTGGGATTCTTTTATCATTGATAACCTCTTAGTTTGCATTGATTGAACTATTAGCTGTTAACTACTTGTGTTTTTTTTTATTATTATCTCTAGTGACCACTAAAAATTATTGTCTCCAAATAGGGCACATTCGACAGTGAATGGATAATTATCAGAAAAACTTTATTTTGTTTTATTCTGCTTTTAATGATTCAGTTTTACGATTACTAAAATAGCTTGTAACAAAGTTGGTGAATAGAAGGCCTAATGTAAAATTCAGGTGTATGATATCACTTCTTTGAAAAGACAATTTTTCTACTTTATCTTCTTTACCCTTCTTTTTTTCCCTTCCTCAGATGTTGTTTCTTTGTCTTAAATAAGATGCTAGTCAATACGTACAGTCCACTTTCTAGAGGTGTGGATTTAGTATTTTCATTCGTTCATAGCAGTCCAAGCAAAGGCTGCTCTCAAATTCCCGTTGAGCAAAGGCTGGTTGCCAAATCATGATGTCCCTGCCTCTGTATCACACATGCTTGGACTACAGTTGTGCACCACCACAAGTGGGTTAAATGCACAGGACTGTAACTCACGGAAGTGAGCTGACTTTTAGCTTTAGAGGGACAAAGTTCTCTAAAACCCAGTCTGCTAAGGTTAATGTATAGGTGAGGGTGAATGCTGTATAAATTGGCAGGGAAACAAGGACTGAACTGGAGTGTGAGCAAAATTAGTTTAACTTTCTCAGCTGCAGTTTTGCCATAGGCAAAATAGTCATAATAATAGCACTAGCTCGTAGCATCCTGAGATGAAATAAAATGATACAGGTGATTGTCTTTCCTCCCAAATTTAGTTGCTGTTTAGTTACCTCAAATTGGTACTTTTTCTTTGTCAAGAAATTCTAAATGCATGACATCTTCATAGTGTGCCACAAGTATGCAAATAGAATTTATTCAATATGAAAGCCTTAGAATCCAAATCAGTTTTCTGCTAGAAACATTTCATACACTTTTTAAAATATTCAGATTGTAATAATATTAATATTCATGTGGTATATGTCTTAGAACACAATTATGAAATTATTACATTTATTCTTTAGCCACATATGTCAAATAATTAATGAGAATTAGAATACTTATATTCATAAAAGTCCTATAAAATGATATATATATATACAGATATATAAATATATTCTGTGTTCTAAAATAAAGGCAATTCCAGCAGTAACTCGATTCATTTATTATATTAATAATATAAAGAAAATGGCTGAAACAATAATGGCTTGCATAATACAAGTTATGCTTTAATTGCCTAAAAATACCTTCACTTATTTTCTCAACATCCTTACACATGATGCAGATAGTACTGGGTGGAAGTATTTACTTTACACAAACCTATAAATTAATGCATCTGACTGCCAGCCTCCAGTGACCAGAAAGAATCTATATGTTGATCTATAGATATAGAATCTATATGATGTTTCTGTCCTGCCTGGTCCCACAGCCATTCAGTCCCAAAGAAACACACAGAGTACTACATTAATTATAAACTCATTGGCCTAGTAGCTCAGGCTTATTATTAACTAACATTTACATCTTGCATTAACCCATAGTTCTTCTCTGTGTTAGCCATGTGGCTTGGTACCTTTATCAGTGAGGTATTTTCATCTTGTGTCCTCTGTGTCTGTGTGACGACTGCAGACTGAGCCTTTCCTCTTCCCATAATTCTCCTATTCTGATCATCCCACCTACACTTCCTGCCTGGTTACTGACCAATCAGGATTTTGTTAAACTAATACAGGTGACAAATCTTTACAGGGTACAAGACCATTGTCCCACAGTACCTATATCTAAGTACACAAGCCTTCTTGATATAGGCATATAATAAATAACCAAGTAACATAAAACTTCAATAAGAGTGAAAGTAAACTGGCAAATTGTGTGTCTCAAACCACAACCATGGTACCTACTTACTGAAGACATTCCTACTTGTATTGGCGTGTCTCTATGTTGATTACTGCAAAATAGGGTAGAATTTCCAAACATTATCCCATATTTTATCAGACAATACAACTGAAATGTGCATTATCTTTTGTTATAGTTAAAATACCAAAATGATGCTGTGCATGCAAATAATGAACAAACTAGGTTTATAGAGAGGAGTAATAAGAGCCCATTACAAGTGCACGGTCATGGAGAGCAGAGTTTTATCCTATATTCCCAGAGCAGGTGTTGTCTCCAGGCTCCAATACATACAGGTTTTCATTAAAGACCATATCTGAATTTCCTGTGTTACCTCATCTGGCTTTATACTCTTGTCCATAGGATCTTACATGCCTGCCATGTAGCTGGAGCTCCGTTTGTGTGTCATGGTGCCCAGAACAGAACAACTATTTACCCCTGCTTTCTTAGCTCATTGAACTTGCCCTTGTGACATTTTTTTTTTACAAATTTGCAGTTTTTATGAGTACAATATTGAGTAAACAATGCAAATTGGTGCCAGCTTCTCACAGTTTTTGGTAATTAAACTCACATTTTAGAAAATTACAAATAATGTACATAACAACTTTGGGCTGCAAAGATTAAAAGACAAAACAAAATTAAATCTAGACATTGCCAGGTCCCTCTTTGTGTCTCACAACCATTTGTAACTCCAGTTTTATGAGATCTAATGCCTCTTCAAGCCTCCATGGGTACTGAACAGGGATTCATGGTGCACAGATATCATGTAGGCAAACCACACATAATCAGAAACACTCTTAAGTAATAAGAACAGAATGAATGAGTGCTGAGTCTATTAGTATCTTTCTCCACAATTACTGGTATTTTCACAATACCACAAATATTTCCAAATGACAATGTCCATCCATTTATGCTTTCAGTCCTGTAACTTGATGCAGTGTATGGCGTTACTAGGAGCTTTGACTTTAAAACGGGTTTTAATAAGAATCCATTGCTTATTTAATACGTCTATATTATTGATAAAGTTTTTAGATTTTTATGACAAAAGGTTAATTGCTATAAAATTTCTTGATGAGTTAACTTGGTACCAAACATTGGGACAGTTAATTCTCGAGGGTTTACCTCTAAGTTCTTTACATGTTTTAATATCTGTATGACTTACAGTATTGGTAGTTTTTTACCAGTAACTGTGAGATTTCAACAAAATTGCTACAGAAAATAAGAATAAATAACGTTGTATGAACAGCCTGTGACTAGATAAAGGACACTTATTAAAGAGTAGTCTTGTAAAAATCTATAGCTGAAATATCTTCAGTGGAGACTGAAATATTTGCTAAGAAGACAACATCCTTAGCTGCCACCCACTGAAGAGTAGCGTCAGGGGCTACACTTCTGCTTAACTATCTCCAAGAAATATTTGGAAAGTACAACCAGACTTCACCATCCTCATTACAAGAATTGGTGTCTCCTAGGAAAAAATATAACTTTTAGAATGTAAGCTAGGATACTAGTCTAAGCTGACTAGAGGCCATCATCAAATGAATACTGAATAGGCACTTAATGCTTTGGCTCTAACATTTTCATGCCTTATAGTCTTTTATAGCATCTATGATTTCTGCAGATTATCATATTTATTTGTATGCAAAGTGCTAATGTTCTATGAGGCACTGCAAGTACATGCATATATTTACAAATGTAGCACTTAATACTTTAAAATACTTCTAAGATAATGCAGAGTGTCTTGGTTGGTGTTTGTCAACAACCTAGACGTATGAGAAGAAGAAATCTCAACCGAGGGATTGCCTTTTTCAGAGTGGCCTACAGATAAGACTATGGAAATTTTCTTGAATAATGGTTAATGTGAAGGACTCATATCTCTGTGGGCAATGCCATCCCTGGGACAGTGGCCCTTGGGTGTATGAGAAAGCAGACTGAACAAGCCAGGGGGAACAAACCAATAAAGAGCATTCTTCCAAGGCCTCTGCTTCAGTTCCTGCCTCCACATTCCTGCCTTGAATTCCTGTCATGACTTCCCTCCCTGATAGACTATAAACTATAAACTGAAGTAAACCCTCTATCCCCAGGTTGTTTTCTCCTAACATCACAGCAGAAGCAAGGGACGACACTGAGTGAGGAAGGACAAATTGTCTCTTACGGAAAAAGCAATGCATTTTGCAAATTATATTTTTTCATTTATTTATTTGAGAAAGCATATAAAACAAAGGACAAGTTTTAGAAGTCTGTTTTCTCTACCTGCCATGTGTGGCCGTCAGACTTGGCAGCAACTACCTTGACCCTCTGAACGGTCGTGCTAGCCTGCAAGACTATGTTTTAAAAACTTTTTAGTTAAAAAAAACTAAGATTTTATGAAATTAAAAGGTTTGTTCAAGAAAACTCAGATAAATTGAGACTTGGTGTGAAACATTTC